CATGGCAAAAGAGGCAGTCAGTCAAGGGCCTCTTACATCAAGGAACAGCTTTCAGCATACATACTTGGCTTGGCACCTTTCACAGGGCCAACAGAAGACTCTGAGCACTTTTGCACCAACCTCAGGGATGCTCACGCCAGCAAGGAGATAGCTCATATTGCTCTTAAGCTGTTAGCTATACAGGCTACATCAATGGCAGAGGAGAGATCAGCCTCTACACTTGGGTGGTTTGATGCCGCAAAAAGGGCATCACTCAAGCCAGCCAACCTCATCTATTCAGTTCAACTGTGCCAGCATTATATCAAGGAGCGCCAAAGCCTCAAGACAGCCCACCATCCTGGGGTACAAACATCCGAGGGTGCATTGCTCATGAGTGCAGATCCAACTCAACAGTCCATGGCAATTGAAAGGCTCCTCAATCCTTCAGAAGAAGGTGACCTGGCCACTCTGGAATCTGAAGACCAGGAAGAAGATACAGATATGGGAGAAAGCTTCATCTTGTCAAAAGTCTTTGACATGTCATCCAATCTTCTTGGTCAAGCAATGGGTGCAGCTGTGGGAGAACTGGAGCCCATTGTCGAGCAAGAGAGCAGCCTGGAGGCCCTTACAGAGGAGGCTGGGGAAGAGATTGACTATGATGAGCTGTAAGCTCCCCTGACATACATTGCTGCCGACACACCAGCCTAGCAACACCAAGAACCAAAGCCCTTGAGCTGCTCTACCACCATGAAAATAGAGCAATGACTGATCTCTACAGTGTGAGATCAATTTTGTGTTCAGTGACTTTCAGACCACTACACACCATGCCTGAGATAGAGGATCAGATTGCACTTTGTTACTCAATGCTACAGTTTCATTCACACATTGAGCATCTGTTTGGTTGACGCCTAATTCGGCTGTAGCAACAGCAAAATCTGGCACAAATGCTCTACACTTGAGCCAAAAGGGTACTACAGTGGTTCTCTGCCTGGAACCACTGGGCGTGGGTACTCAAGCTCTGGTAACCGCCCAAATACATCCTTTTCCACGCTTTTCCACACCACTTTTCCACATGGAAAAAGCTGTGCCAAAAAGTCGGACTTTTCCACACCTGTGGAAAGAAAAACATTCTTTTTTGCACAGCCCTATCTCAGCTTCTCCATAGCTGGCATTGCATTCACCACCAGGGTCTTGAAGTTGACATTACCATTGAGGCCAGTAATGAAGAGCTTAAAGCCTCCCAAGGTGATCTGCTCCTTTAACCCGGCCATGTAGAGCAGGTCTTCTTTGTAGGCTGCCTCGCAATCAGGGCCAAGCAAGTGAGCCTTTGACACCATGATTAGCTCTTCTTTGGAGCGGCAAGTTCCCCTATCCTCTGCATCAAAGCCCAACCATGCTTGGAGAATCTGCACCTGGGGCCAGCCAACTCTGATGTCAAAGAAGTTGCATGCCTTCCAGTTGCCACAGAATTTGTGCTCAGGAATGAGTTGCAGGTCGAAGGTGCCATTGAGCAAGAGCCTTGTGCGCTGGGCATTGTAGCAGGCCGCAGCTTTGCCATTGAGCAGACTCTCTGCCGCTGGACTCAGGCTGATGTTTGAAGGGATCAAAAGGATTGTCAGGAAGGCATGGTCCCTCCTCCTTGAACATGCCTGAGTCTCCAATGGTGTCAGCAGTGCTGGCAGAAAGAGTCTCAACTTAGGGCTGTGCAAGAAAGGGTCCGACTTTTCCACAGGCACTTTTCCACATCTTTTCCACAGCGTGGAAAACACCGTGGAAGAGAAAGACCATTTTGGGCACGTGGAAAAGCGTGAAAACCCCATTTGCCTTGCACTTGGCCAATCAAGATACTTGGCTAAGCAACTTGATTGATCTCTTCAAGGAGCTCAAGATCAAGTTCAGAGAACTAGGCAGAACCGCTTAGAGTTGGCCTGCCAGGCATGCCTTGCCACTCAAACCTCATCCTGACTTCTTAGCATCACATCTCTTGATGCATCTCTGCCCTTACACCCCTTCTCCATCCTCAGTTCCCACCAATCAAGTGCCAAGCAGCCCTGTATGTCAAAATGGCAGACAAACAGACTGAGCATCAAAATGCAGACTCAACAGCCACCCATCCAACATTTGAGCAGAGAACAACAACCAGAGAGCAGCAAAGAGAGCTATGGGCCCAAAGATGTCCTACTTACAGCTTCAAGCCATCAATTCAGACAAAAGGGCGACCAAAGAACACAATCTTTGATGCACTAGTCATTGAAGGAACAAGGGTCAATCAGGCAAATGAACTTGCTGGCCAAGGCAAGAGCAAGACCACAAGGATGTTTGGGTACATTGGATGTGATGCCGCAGGAGAAATGAGCGAGGTGGCAAGAGCAAAGCGCCACGCCAGCAGCTGCTCAAAAATAGACAAGTCCCAACCTTCTAGCTGCTTTGACCAGAGCACAGCACCAGGCCGCTTTGTCAACAGAACTTGAAGCTACTTCAACCATCACAGTCAGCACAGGCCAAGCAGGCAACAAGAGAAAGGCTGGCACACTTGACACATACATTGATCAAGACAAGAAGACCATCACAGTTCATAGGCAGATGACACTTGACTTGCTCTTACTCAAGACAATTGTTGTTGGAGCTTTGCCATTCAGTTTGGTATCCATGCCAGAGTTCCAGGCATTTGTCAAGGAGGCCTGCCCTGGCTATGCTGTTCCAGACAGGACAAGGTTCTTTGATGAGCATCTTCCACAAAAATGCGCCAAGATTACAGCAGAATATCTCAAGCACTTGGGCAAGTCTTAAATCTGCAACATGACTCTCAGCATGGATGGCTGGTCATCCAGGGCTAGACTGGAGATTTACACCTTCCACATCACTTCACCCCAAGGGGATGCTCATCTCTACAAAGCAGAGCTTCTGGGTTCGCAAACTGCTTCAGCCAGCTGCATCAAGACAATTCTGGAAGGCATCTGCCAGCAAGCTCTACCCTCTGAGCAGCACCAGCTTCTGGCGCACAAGCTCTCAGCCATTTGCTCTGGCAGTGCTTCAGCTCTGCAGCAAGCCAAAGAAGACCTCAGCAGCACCTATCCTTGGATCATCACACTGCCAGATGCACCTCACTGGCTCAATTTTTATGCCAAAGATGTGGCAAAGATCATCCCTGGGCTGGACAATACTATCAACAGCCTTGCCCTCCTAATCAGGTACCTGAACTCAAGCAACCATGCGACTGCTCTTCTCAATGAAGAAAGAAGGCGCCTTGGTCTTTCACATGGCATCAAGAGCATTGGAGACACTCGCGTTGCAACAGTCTACTGCGCAGCAAAGTCTGTGCTTCCCTCCAGACTGCTGCTCCCTCCTTCTCCTGGAAAGGCAGCACAAAAGGTAAGCTATCACCGCTTCTCAGCACCAGGAGCACGGAGCACATCAGCTTCTAGCAAGGACTCAACAACTTGGTGCTGATACTGGAACCTTTGGCAAATGCTATCAAGACCTTGGAAGGATGCAAGGTCACTCTGGCTGATGTCTGCCATGCTTGGCTGACTATAGCATGGAGCTGGGATCGCCATCAAGCACTCCCTCAAGGGTCTGTCGTTCTCTAAGAGCAAGGTCACCAGCTCAGTTCATTGCTCAACACCCGCTGGAAGGGCTTTCTCAAACAATGCACAGCAAATCAAGAGGGCCCAGCAAGTATCTTGGTATTATGCTGGCTACTCCTTCCAGCCCACAGAGCATTGAAGTGTCTCAAGATTGACATTCCTAACATCCAGCCTGTCACAAAGTTGAAGGACTC